ATTAAGAGGCTTGAAGGAACATGAAAATATCTTTCTGGGCCCATCAAATATTTTCCTACAGAGCTTGTATTATGTTTTTAAATTCAGTGGGGACTCAGTCAAAATATCAAATGTGGTGTGAGAATCTTTTCCTGTGATAAACATTAAAGAACTAAATAAACAGCATAGGCCATATTCTCAGTTGTAGGCAAATATTAGGAAAAGTAGCATGCACAGTGGGGGAAGGACTGCCTTGTTTTTTACAATGTGGAGTATTTCTGGGTAGAAAATATTTGAAAAGGAAGATTTATTTGGACATTCAATTTTTTACATGTGTAATTTTAAACTCCTGTGAGTAAAAAAATCATAGGAACAATAGGTGAATTTAACCTGGTACTACAAGAATCTCCTCAATTCCATCTATTATCTCCAGCAATATTTTTGCTAAAAGATAAGTCAAAAAGCTTTGGGCTTTTAGTCTAAAAGGAAGTTTTAACAATGTTATCAGATATCAGAATCAGCATGAAGTTACTGAACTTTACCAGGAAGTGCAGAGAATGACACCAAGCCACGTCAGATGAGCAACTGTACCTCTATTTAACCTTGAAGGCAGCCAGAATGTGTGAAGAAATACTTGATTCAAGGAAGCAAGTTAAAACCCAAAAAGTGTGCAGGTGTCCCATTTTAGAGTCTTTAGGGAAGAGGCTTGTGAAATGCAGATATGCTAAAAGAGGGACTGAAGCAGACAGTTCAACACACAGAAAGATATGAGCAACACAGAACCCATCAATATCATGCTTCTAAAATTAAGACTCAGTTGAGGAATCCAAAATACTTATAACAATGCAAAAATAATAATAAGGGTGCCGGCACCATTTCCTGGACATAGCTGGGAAGCTAAAGATCAGTGTGCTTACTGTTAGATAGAAAACTGTAAAAGGGTACAAGATCCTTGGTACTGATGATTGCTCCTGATTATTGAAGTGAGGACTCTTAAATGTTGAATTAATCTATCCTCCTTATTTCTAGTCCCCAGCCCTTCCAAGCTTAGATACAGATAGAGAAGCTGCAGGTTAGTGATAAAAACAAAGCTCTCTGCCCATAGAAAAAGTTATGTAATCATAGGAAGACAATTTACAGTATAGGTAAAAAGCCACAGTCATAGGAGGGATTTTCTTTATTGTCCCATGTGATCGTTTCATTAAAGAACAAGTTGATGAAATAAATCTGCAGGACACTTATCTGTAGTCTGTCAATGTTACAATCCTTTTGCTGGAATGTGTATCCAACTGTCTATGTTAACATTAATCCAGGTCAGCCTTCTGATGCAGTTAAATAATGACAACTAGTCACAAAGTGTCTATGACCAGCTGACTTAAAATTAGTCTGATCAGCCTGATTGCTTTGGCAACAGGAACATTTCTCTCCCCAGCTGTACATGCTCTTTTGGTCCACCTATGTTTTCTTCCTCAATGTATACCACTGAAGCAATGCAATAAACTGTGTTTAGGAAGTTTAGAAAATGTCAGGAAGAAACATTTTGATTAACTTGGTTCACTGTAAAGCTTATCCTTCACATGTGTAGCCATTTGTGTTTTAGTACTGCCTCCTGTACAGAAAATAGTGATAATGAGCATATGCTCCAAATACTTTGAATATCTGGAAATGTATTTGGAATGATGTCCCAACAGGAGGACATGTTATGGAAGTTTAAACAACAATCAGTGAACTCTGGGCCTGCATTCTGCACAGACATTCCCATTGCTCCTGCTCATTTTTTATCTATGCCCTCTCCTCATTCCCTCTGTGCGCATCTAAAATTACCATCATCCTGTCAGTGACAGCAAAATGGGATTTAGAATGCAGTAATAGTTTTGTATGCACAACAGTGCTCCATACACTTTCAGCAATGTGCTTCTCTAGAGATGATACTTAAGGTGATCTCTGAAGAGCAAGTGTTTTGTTACTACTATCTGTTTGCTATCATTTGTAAAGGTGCGATGCCATAATGGTCTTGTCACTTGAGCAGTACAGTGTTACCTGCTCATTAGATTATTGATGGCTTTCTGGGGAATTGAGACAAACACAACAACAAGAAGCTTTATTGCTGTAACAGAATCTGCCCTGAAGTAAAATCATCTGCCTCTCAGCTGGTTTTCAGCTGCACTTGCATACAATTTTTCACCTGCCATTAAAATACTGAATGAAATAAGAATGCCTCTCAATCATTTATTTATTTTCCTCCAGCCCATTTCCCCCATGTTTTCTATTTTCAACTCAGGAAACAACTGCTGAAACAATGAATATTTTATTTAAATGAACTAGAAAAAGGAGAGTAATTGAAGCAGGTGCCTTTTTCTTTCCTTAACAGGCAACATCTTATCACTATGTTCATGTGGATAAAGAAAAGAACATTATCAAGAGCTGACTAGCATCCAATGAAAATGGCTGTTATCTCAGAAAGCAATTGCTTCTTTAGGTTTATGGGAAAATAGTGCGTTTTTAAAAATACTGCAGCAAAGAGCTTCATACAAACTCACAGGATTTGATTTTCATCATACTTTGACTTGAACCAATTGCTTCTATATTTGTGAATTAGGTGGAACCCAGCTTGTAGGAGCAGAATATGGAAAAGATTGTGTCAATGTACTATTACCAAACACAGATCTTTGGTAACCACTCTGCTGCTACCTTGTTATTGCTTCACCAGTCTCCCACTCCATTTGTGTTGGACCTGCAGCCTGGCGCCCAACAGACCCCAAATTTCAGCACCAGGTTTCTACTTTCTTAAGTTTTTCTCCTCCAAATTAAATCATCAGAGCTTTTGCTTGCCCTTTCTTACTCCTATGTACCCTAAAGATGTTCTGAAGAGAAATGAAGATACTGGTTACAAGTCAGCTTTGCTGTGCCATGGAAGATGGGAAGAGTGCCAGTGTTAATTTTTGGTAAGGAGTGGGTTCAACTTATCATTAGTAGGAGTCTCTCATTTACCAACAACTGCCATTAAATGTTCACCTTACCAAACAAACAAACAAAAAAACCTTCTCCTTATTTTGTTGCCAGAGATCGATGGTTTTACCTAAAGATTACTTCTGCAGTAATGATATGATGATTTTCAATTTTTGTTTTGAACAATGCTACATTTATACCCATATTGTGTCAAAACTAAACATGAAAATATAGAGGATGTTCTGGAATGGTATATGAAAAACAACTCACCTTTCCAACCTGCTGAACATTTGCATGTGTAGCTATCTATTCCACCAATACAAGAACCAATTCTACATGGGTTTGATTTGCAATGATTGAGGTTGTTTTGGCAACGTTCCCCTTCGAATTCACTGGGACACATACACAGATATTCACCAACACCTGGAGGGAAGTTAATGTTGGTGATGCAAATTCCGCCATTCAAGCAGCCACAAGGCTTCACTGAAACCTAGAAAAGGCAAGAATGTCTTATATTTATGCATGTATTTTATTAAATACATTTATAATAAGGCTAGTTACTGGAGTTCCTATTTAGTGATATGCGTAAGAGTGATTTGTAGCTCAAATTATAACAGTAAATATACTAATCTTTATTTCCTGGAAGATACTGAAAGAATTTCCTGATACTTGATGATACTGAGAAGCAAACTATATGATAAATGCATAGCTGCCACTGAAAACTGAAAGTGTTCATCTTTTTCCTTTCTAATATCTAATAGAACTTAACTGTCTTCTCATGTCATAACATTCTTTGTCCCCATCCCTCCTATCATTGGCTGTTAGGAGGAGTCAAGTGAACATGAAGCATTATGATATCAAGACACCACTGACTTCTAAACATCACAGAGGAGAAAGGACCAGTTGTGCATTTGCCATTTTTAAAAGCAGCTGAATACTTAGCATAATGTATAGATTGGTCTTGACTGTTCAATGAATCTAACTCCTAGGGCCTTTTTTGCTAATACCTCCAGGTTCTGCATAAATTTTATATCTAGTGATTTGAGTTAACATTTATTTTATCCAATTCTCTTAGCAATTATCCATGTTAGCCAGCCCCTTTTAGCTGTTTCTTCCTCCTGTGCATTTGCATTATTAGCAAATGCTACTGCAGAATTAATGGAACAGCTTGCAATAAAGACAAAGAAGGAAAGCATGGCCAAGAAACCAAGGTTATGGAGTGATGACATAAGAGAAAAGAACCTCTAAAATATCATTGCAAATGAATTATAATCTTCCCTTTATGGCTAAAACCTGGTCCTTTATGTCATTATGTGCTTTTCTTCAAAGTTCCAAATGCACACAGCAAATTTTAAAGCAGATTAATGAACCATTAACAGGCTTGGAAAAAAGTGCTTTTTCAGACAGCAATCGATAGTCCCCTCTCTTATTCACTGTGTATATGGGATTCACTTTCTCCAGGATGTTTATAGATTAATTGATCGTTACTGTCATGAGGGATAATATGCACTCACTTGAAAACAGCTGAAGTCTTAGCTTTTTAAAGACAATAACAAATTATTAACTATTATCGAAGTATCCGAGAGCCTACAAACTAGTTTTTGAAGGAGTGTGAATCTCCTTCTCACCTGCAATGAGTGTCTGCTTTGTGCATTGCATTCATCAGACACAGTGAACTCGAAAGTCTCTGCTTCTCCAGAAAGGACATTCCAGATGAGAAGGCCAGCAGGAGTGAGAGAAGCTTCAGGAGGGCCAGCTTCTAAGGCAAACAGCACGGCTGATCTCTCAGGATCCACAGCTTGCAGCTGATAAACAAAAGTCTCTCCTGCAAACGTTAGAAGCCGATTGGATGGGGCCAGAAACACAGGCGGCAAGTTATCTAAATTAAACATCAAAAAAGCAGCCAAGATTAGGGGGTGTGTAGCCTAGGGAATACTCTGATTTACTTAATTTAAGGAACTGTAAACATTTTATTGAAAATGACAAGCAATTTAACAATTCCAGCTGGTAACTTGGAGGAACACCATCTATACTTAAGGGGTTAAAGACATCTGATAAAATTAATATATTTATTGCTAGTGGGCTTTTCTTCAGAAAGGCTGTAGTTATTTCTCTCTCCCTTTTTTAATCAACAGAACCTTTAAAAAAAAATCACAGAAATGAGCCCCTCAAGTGATTATCTAATATGATGCAGAGAGTGGAAATACATCAACAGGTTTTTCTGGGGGGGAAAGGTGGAGAAAAACCTCTCATCCTATCTTCATACTGCAGAAAATGATTAACATCTGAATTTGAGTGTGGTGGCTGTGGTGAATGTTAAACTGCAGTTTAAAACACAGCAGATTTAAGGCCAGTTTTATAGTCATAGTCATCATAGTCCTACAAAAACATCTGTGGGTTTATATTTAGATTTTATGTTGTGCCTTTCTTCTGAAAATGCTCAGTGTGAATAAACCCCCCCCCCACTACAATAACATTTTCAAAGAAAAATCAGAGTAATCTAATCTGTCCTGAAAATAAATTATTAACAGTTTGCTGAATTGGAAAAGCTTCAACTTAGTCTTAAATAATTGATGAACATTACTATACTGTGTGGTTCTTGAATGGATACTTGTAATCAGTGGTGAATGTTGATTACGTGTACTATGGTCAACTGCCAAATTAAGGATCAGGTCCTTAAGAGGGAAAGCAACCCATCAAGAGTTAAAAACAGAGTCAGGACAGAACCAGATCTATTTCCATTTTACAAGGATTTCAGCTGAGCATGCTGTGACCCATCCAGGCCTTCCCAGCCTCCAGGAACCAATACGGCTGAATCCAAGGAAGGTCTCTTAAGGAATCAGGTGTACCAGAACTGCAGGAAACAAAAATAAAGGATTGACCATCTCCAGGATCCAACCAACCATGTCCATTCTGGTCCTATGCACATGCCTAACCTACAAGTGGGAAGGGACATGTTAGTGATTACCCCCTCTACTTCATCAGAATCTACAGGCAAAAAAGGACCTCATGGCAACTCACCACCATGGACTTTGCCAATGAAGAGTCAAAACTTTCATGTAACTGAGCAATTTTCTCAACAAAGTGTTATGCCAAATAGCCACAGCACTAGGTGGGAGATTTATCAGCAACTGCCTTCCAAAAAGGTATTTGCCACTCCAAACACAGCAGCCATCTGACAGGCTGCCAACATGATAAGGGAAGATAAGTATAGGTGCTTTCCCTTCCAGATTTGAACTCATAACTGTACTTGGTCAGATTCATTTTTCATCTTGCTGCACTGGTTCTCCAGGCCCTGCTCATCCCTGACCTTGGCACTGAGGGTGATGAAGGACTTGGGAGAGCAAATTTCTATGAAGGCCACATTGCCAGCCTTGTCCAACCAGATTGTAGCTAAGCATACCTTTATTACAGATGGACCTTGTGGTTACCTTTAGCAATTTGAGACCAAGGTCGCATCTATAATCAGTCACCAGGATCAGGACCTCTGGATTTGGAGTAGAGAGTAGCAACAGATTGCACTTTTCCATTGGAACAGGTAGCCCAACATTCCCCACCTATTAAGCTATAAGGCCAAGGAAGCAAGAACTGCAGATTTCAGAAAGGTATCTTCAAGTTTTGCCTGGGGTAAATTCAGAATCTTGAAAAATGTAATAGGAATTTTTCAGAACTTTGCATTTATAGTCAGTTTAATAAGGTACAGTCTCTCTGAATACTTTGAAACACATTTTCCCACATTTCTCTCTCTCTGCCCCCCTCCCCCAGACTGAGTTGCTGTTTATGAGATAGGCTATCGACTGATTTACCTGCTACTATCCCTTCCATTACTTTCCCAGTCTCCTCATAGTTTCTTAGAGCACCATAACTCTCTTGCCCTATCAAAACTCATGTTCTACCAGTCTTGGGAATGATTGTGGGGAGGCTGGGAAAGGAAGAGAAAGAGAGTAGATGTAAACAATTGAGAGAAAAGGTAAATCCACTGGCAGCTCAGCCCAGGTGCCAAGAACCCTGGGAAGAAGCATTTTGAACCATTCAAAGAGGCTCTGCCTTATTTAACTCACTATAAATGAAGCTTTGAAAGTCTTCCTGCAGTTTCCAAAATTCTGTATTAACTCCAAGACTAGCTTTAAAGATCTAGGAAGCAAGAACTACACAGATTTCATTAAGGCCACATTAAATAGTGTACATCTTACTGAATTCTGTGTAGTTCTTGCTTCCTTGATATTGCCTAGCTGTATGGGGTTTGACAATTCTCCATAACAGCAAGGCGTAGACCACTGATGGACTAAGCACACCCCACTCACACAGTCACACTCACCAATCTCCAGAGGCCTGCTATCTGACAATGCAACTCATAGTAGGTCTCCAGCTCTCTAACCACTTCCTCTTACTATCTATCAGAACCAATCAGGAGCTTCCATCTTACAAGGTTTCCTCCTAATTTCCTATACAGGTAGTCCTCATTTAACAACCACAATTGGGACCATTAGTCTGGTCCTTAAGCAAAGCGGTCACTAAGTGAGACTGTGACTGTGCTTATGAACTTATTTCTCCTTTCCTTTGCTTCACAGACCTGCAAAGGTTGTAAATGTGAGGATTGGTTGCAAAGTTACTTTTTCATCATTGTTCTAACTGTGAACAGTCACTAAACAGGGCAGTCACTAAATGAGGACTACCTGTATCTACCCTACCAAACAGCCTCTAATACTTTCACCCAATCAATCCAACAACCAAAAAGAGAGAAAAGGGGGAAAAAATCCAAGGACAGGCCCACAGTTGCTAGGGAGGCCATGAATAGCTAAGCTATCTGACTCCACTCCCAGGACATGGTGGTTAAAGTACCCCAACATTAAAAATCTAGAGTTTTCTACCACCAGCCCCATGATATGATCCAGGAGGTCAAGGAGGGCTGCTGCTAAATAGTAGACTAGAAATAGTCCTATTTGTCCCTGAAGCCCAATATTTTTTGAAAAGAGATCTGAGGCCTGGAATGCATTTTGCTTCTCTGGAGGAGGAATGATTACTAGAACGGAGTCTTATAATAGTTATATTAGAAAATGAGAACCTCTGTATAATGATGGAGGTTTAAACTAGTTGACTTTGCAGAAATCAGGATTGGCCTTCTCCAAAGAAAATAATTTTATAATCTAGATAAATATTAGAAATATACACTATGTAATGGTCCAAGCCAAGAATACACTCAATCAGTCTCTTGAAGAATGCATTTTTGTATCATAAATGGCGTCTGATTTTATAAGGCCCCAATGGACTTACTTTCATTGATAGACCAAGTAAATTTCGAAACTGATGGCTCACAGAAAAGACAAGAGCTGGTGAGACTTGCATCACCCGCTGCATAGCACAATCCATCTATTTTGCATGTGTTTTCCTGCCAGGAGGAGAAACAAAAACAAATGAGCTGTTAGTCACTTGAAATAGTATAAAATATTTATTTCTAGCAATCATGGAACAATAGTCATTTAAATCCATTCCTAAGGGAAGAATAGAAGTGAATCTTCATTTTATCCTTGAATGTTAAGCTGCTGAATGACCAGAATAAAAATGTTCACTCCCAAGTGAATCTTAAAATCTGAAGAATGAACAAAGCATGGTTAATCAGTCCCTGGATGAACGTGATGCTGTCATTCCAGGTTTTCCTTACCCAGGAACTGACTGGCTCCTGGGTTCCCTTTCTTTTGGCATGTCAGGCAAATCTCTTCAAAATGCCTGCACATGGCCAGGAAGATCTTCTCTGATTCTGTGCCTTTGTCATGGCCAGTACACATTTCCCCCACTGAGTAAGTCAGAGGTACTGTGATTTCTTGGCCTTGTTTATTTTTCCTCTGAACTAGATGGTTAAAAGAAAAACAAAGGTTGAGAGGTTTCACAAAAATATACAGACAATATGCTCATGATATTTTCACTTTTCTTTTTAAATGAAATTCAGACTTCTTGTGGCTGAAACAATAGTAGTTAATTATACATTCATTCCAAAATGAAGTACGTCTTCTTTGTCAAGTAACTCTCCAAACTGGGGTGTTTGTAACATTGATGTAAAAACAGTAGAACTGACATCATTCCCTCCTCAAAGTCCTTGATAAAGGGGAAAATCTTGTAAGTTTTGACAGTATTCAGCCACCTATTTATTTGCTTGCTTGCAAGTAGTTCTATAACACCCATCCCAAATGACTTCTAGAAGTTTACAGCAGTGGAAAATAATTACTTCTGCTCGGATAAAAACATGCTTGCTATTGCAAAGAATGACTTAAGTGTCTCCAAATATATTGGATTGCAGCTCCCATCATCCCTAGGTAGCTTGAGGTAATAGGAATTGTGGTCTAACACATGGTGGGGGGATTCTAGTCCACTGAAGGCCATTTAAACAAACTAGGGTTTGGGGATGGGAGAGAGGATTGTAATTATTCAGTACTCTGAGATCTTGAGTTTAACATTTATGTTACGGACAGTATGTTAGTTCAAGTCATATGATGTGCTTCTTTTTGAGAAATGTTCCTTTTCCTTTTGATATTTTACATCTGTCTTTGTACGTCTTTATTTCTTAATGGTTGACTATTTGCTTCTGGGTTCTTTATTTCTGATTAATCCAAGAGGCCTTACATGAGCACTGAGAATATATTATGGAGTACATAAAGTAACCACACACCTAGAAAATTACTCTAAATCTGGAGTTCCGGTGTAGCAAGTAAGGGTGCCAATGTATCCAAATGACACTTTTTTAGTACCTGCCAGGTCCTGCCTCACCTGACTTCTTATAAAAAAGGAGATGTTGCAAAGGCTCCAGCATCATCTTTATTTTCATGAATGTATCTGGCCTCAAAATGGACCCCATACATTTTTGGGGAGTTAAAATATTTGGTAGATGCAGCCGTTGCTTTGGTTGAAAGTAAGGAACTCCTGCCTTAAGGTAAATTAGCCCAATCAGCAAAACCTACATCAGCTGAACCTCTGGTTGGACTACAGTAGCTAAACTACTGCACTTATCAAGTGTAAAGAAAGACAAGTAATGTAGGGAAGTTCTGGGAGAAACAAATCTAGCCAAGCCTGCATCTGTACTTGAAGACATTAGGTATAGAAGCAACCGTATTGGTAGTTGGAACACTGCCAGTAAATCTGAGATAACTATTAGGGCTCTGCCATTATGCGTTATGAAAGAAAAAAAGCTGCTGGTAATGTCTTCCCAGCAAAAGTTCTGTATCAACAGGAACATTTTATGTAAAAGAAGTCTTATTAAAGATAATCTCAGAATTGCCATTATTTCTCCACTCCCATTCACTTTCATGAACATTTTCAGCACATAACGGCTACGTTTTGTATGGACATCAAGTAATACATTTTGAAAACAGGCTTGTATATGAAGTGTGGTTTTTCAACTATTGATGTCAAAAAGGGCATAATATACAAGTGGAAAAAATATATTTAGCTTTCCAGCTGAATCAGTAAACAAATTTGGTTCCCTGAGACTTGTCAAGCCATGTAGCTCACTTAAGGAAACTGGAGGGTTAGGAAGAAGATGAATGCTCTCTACTACACCTCTAAGTGCTTTGAAATTACCTTTAATTTGCAAAGCCCATTTTGATGGAATTTGCAATCCTGGCAGACTCCGTCATACAAGGTCAGAACTTTTGAATTACTGTACTGGAATCCATCCTTAGAAATCTAAAATATACAAAAATATATCATTTTGTGTGATCCAGTTCCACATAGACATTGTCTGTACATTCTGAATGCACCCCTGAACTAAATGTCTGCCAAGAACATAAATTAAACCACTTGTGAGTTACTTTCCTGAAAGCTAATAAATCACTGGATGCTGCAAACTGAAAAGCCATTCATTTATTACCAAAATATCTTTTTGCTCAGATCAAATCTGGGGTTTCTGATAACTGTGTGCTTTGTTAAATCTGTTCCCGTAAATTTTTTTTTACTCAAATAGACACAATTTTGAACAATAAATCCTGCTTCAGATTGACTGCAATCCATAAAACATTTACTCAAGAGGAATTTTATGGATGTCAACAGCATTTTATTGAGATTGCTTCAAAGCAAGACAATTCTGTTGGGTAGATTGTGTCCTCTACTCTACCAAAGATAGATTTCCATTCTTGAGGTATTAATTCATTCGTAAAATGTCATATCTTGAAACAAACATTATGTAGGAGAAGAAGCAGAAAGTGGGGCTGATGCTTCTCCCACACGTATTTCCTATAGACAGAGGAATAATGTATTTCACTGGAGGCAGAGCGGTAGATACAAGAAAAAGAATGCTCACTCTGTATTTGGCACAGGAATCAAGCCATAATAGGTCAATTTTGTAAGTTGTATTTGTTTCAAAATATCTAACTGCATGCATTGACAGATTTTTTTTTTTAATTTGTACTGTCTCATCTCATGTCATCATTTGCTATTTTGTTCTGTTTAACTGATATTACTATTACAAGCCATGAACATTATGAGGTATGCTTTGTTTGTTTGAAAACAGATGTGGATATCAAATTCAGATTAGAACATGAAATGTAGAATTGTATTCTAGACTGCACATGTTTTACATTGAAAGGCAATATATTTCATATTCTATCATTACCTCTACTGTAAAATGGATACAGAGGATTAAGAATAAGTTTGAACTTGAAATATAGAATGTTATCGTGAATGTGCACACCAGCTTTCCAAAAGGAGGTATCTCAGATTTTTAACTTTCAAATATAGTTTTGCCATTCTATATGAATTATGCTCTGATATTACACATAGAATTTTATGTAGCCTTAGTGTCTTAGTAACCATAGAAGATCTATTTGACTGAAATTTGCATTTTATTCTTCTTTGAAAAACAGCACTGTCATAGACCTGTTTATTAGAATACTGAATACTGCATACTAAATATGTGTATGGATTTTCATTTAGTTTGTGTTCAATTTAAGAAATCATAATACAAATAAACATTCTACACAAACAAAAACAATACATACACACAATACAAATGCTGTATCTAAACATTGAGAAAGCTATTAAATGTACTTTTCATTTCACTGTTTGAAAAGGGTGCTAAAATGGAGCTGCTGTTAATACTATCCATCATTGAATGATGTTTTGAATATGTGTTTAAGCTTTCTCTGTTTTCAGACAATTCAAGAGGGATGTGCATTGCATTTTGTTTAAATCCTTTCTACTTAAAAATTTATATAGAAGCCAAGTTCAGACTGACAACTGAAACATATAATGTTGTCCTAAATGTGCATATGTACATTTAAAATAGATATCACACTATTTATGTTACATTTTTCTTGGACGCTTGGAAAATCAGAGTACAGCACTGAGCTCTAAATTCAGAATATTATCTTGAATGTACAAACCTACATTTGTTTTAAGATCCAAAGGAAATGACAGGAAGAGAATAAATGGGAAAACCCCCCGCTTCTTTCACTAAATGGGATTGTATATAGCAAAAAGTTAACTACTAAAGTACAAGTAGTCCTCACTTAACAACCACAATTGGGACTGGCAACTCCATCACTAAGCAACACTGTTGTTAAGTGAAACATAACATGGTTGTGCCAGACTTACTATGTCAGGTCTGCTGCCGTAATTAAGTGTGACATTGTGTGACCACAATTTGGGACTTACTGCAGGCTTTTCCATTAATTCTGCTTGTCAGAAGCCAGCTGTGAAGCTCAAAAATGGTGATCATGTGACCACAGGTTTACTGAAATCATCATAAATGCACACCAGTCACAAAGCAAGTGAATTGTGATCCTGTGATCATGGGGACACTGTGACTGTTGTAAGTTTGAGGACTAGTTGTAAAGCTACTTTTTCTAGTGCCATTGTAAGTTTGACCAGTCGCTAAACAGGGCAGTCATTAACTGAGGACTACTTGTAAAGGGTTCAGATTTAATAAGAAGCCAAGCCTTTTGCATCCAACAAAAATGGGAGGAGACCAAGTGCGTTTGCAAGTAGGAAATGAACCTTTTAGATGGAACCTGTCTTTCACAGAACACATAGATAGCTGTGAACAAGCACACAATTTATTTTCAAACTATCATTTCTGTTCAGTCCGAGAACAGGACAAACTTTTTGTTTGTTTTTGTCTGAATTAAATCTACCAGAAATAGCTGTGTGACTATATGCTTCTCTTGTAACTACAATGCTGTATGTAGCTTGTGCCGTGTGACAAACACAACTGATAAAACAGATGTGATATCAGCTTTCCATTTCTGTCACAGAATATAGATCATTGTCATCAACTCGCCCATTTTGCTACGTCTCACTGTGACCTAATAACTGAAGCATGAAGTTGTCTTTGCTGAATATGTGTTGCATGAAGCAACTTTTCCCCTAAGTTTTCTATAATTTATCTGTGTTAAGTCACAAATATTCATCCAAAATTGTCTTGGTTTGATACATTTTGTTAGGATGGTCTTGCCCATAATGGAAAAAGTCAAAGGTTGGACAATTCTGCTCATGTCAAAGAACACCTGACTATGTCAGATCTGCCCATACTGCGTGAAGTAATGCAAATCTCTACCTTAGCAGAAGACTGACTCTTAGAACAAGGAGGAGGAGGAGGAGG